TTTGAAGTCAAGAAATTAAGTTTATTGTCTGGCCTATGAGGAAATTGAGGCACAGAGGTTAAGATACCATTCAAGGGCCACCCAGCAAGTAAATGGCAGTGATGGGACTTGAACCCAGTCAGAGTGACATCAGGCTGAGAGAGTCCTGCCAGCATTTACTGTGAATTCCACTGCCTGCTGGAAGGTCCATTCAGAGGATGGGATTAGTATGTTCTCTTGGTGAAACCCAGGACCTGGGAGCTGGGATTTCATGTGGGGTGGGGGACTGGAAGAAGAGCCCAGGAAAATGGCCTTGAGGTATTTTGTAAGCCGCATGCTCCCCTTAGAGACCAGCCCCCTTGGTGTGTCTTCCATATGCTATGTAGCATCAAGGACACAACGGCAGCTGTCACTTCCCGTTGAGGGCTGGTTTGTACAGAACGGAGTGCAGGGACCACGGGAGAGGCACAGCCAGGCTAGATGCCTGAAGCTGCCCTTGGGGCTTTTAAAAAGTTGAGATAATGGTGTAAACACCCATTTTTGAAAGGAAAGAAACTCAGGCACCATGCCGCCTGTCTCCTGTAACAGACATTGTCCTTTTGTAAATTCCCTCCAGCCCATGCCTCCGGGCAAATGTATTTATAACTGCAATCAGAGAATGTTTTTTATTATTTTCTGATTGAAAAATGCTTGTCTTTTTTTTCAATCGTGGAACAAATGCAAAAAATGATAAAGGAGCCAATATTTATATCATCTGTTGCTGGTAGCCCTGCTGCTAATGCTTGCCAATGTCTGTTGAATGTTTATACTCTGTCTGGGTCTCTTCTTTTGGAATGAACCTGTGATGCGTAGGTGCTGTGATTATCCACGTATTTTGGATAAGAGACAAAGAGAGGCAAAGTATCTTATCCCAGCTCACACAGCTAATTGGGGGGCAACACAAGGAGGGATTCAAAGCTGGGTCTGTCTGCTTCAGAGTTTGGGGATAAACTACATTAGGATAAAATGGAGAGCATTCTGGTGACCCATAGAGGGGAAGTCTGTTCCGGCCACGGAACACGCCCGAGCAGGCTGGGGGCTACAGTAAACGTGTCGCTGGGGGACGCTGGGGTGAGTAGGCATTTCCTCCGAAACCCCACAGGCTGCTTTCCTGGGCTGACATCTGGAGCTTGGGATGTGGCCGCCTGGCTGCCAGGCTGGAGCTCGGGGGATGGCGGTGGGAGGGCTTCTCAGCGAGCGGGTGGAGGGATGACCCTCTGCGGCCCATGCTGGGAGCCCTGTGTCGACACACCGGGGCCCTTACTGGGCTGCGTGGTGGCCAAGGGCCTCCTGGGCACGTGGTTCTGGTTTTGAAGCAAAGAGAAGGTCAGGTCCTTGGAGCAAGGGGCCTGTGGTCCAGGAGGAAGGGAAGTGAGTTTTCCTGTCCTGACAGATAGGAAAGGGCCGGGGGTCTTTCTTTGTTTTTTTTTTTTTTTGGGGGGGGGGGGGG